AAAGAGGTTACAAGACTAATGTTTAGGAAGTGTTGGTAGAATTTTCACTAAAAAAGTGAAGAAAGATAATTCATTAGCTATAAGCTCACCTTTCAAAATTTTAATGTTTCTTCACCTTTTTTAAACAGCTAGCCCTGCAATACAATCCTTTGATCATTTGTTTTAGGCATGTTTACATCACAAGTTTTTTTCCTATTAATTCGATATATATACTCTCACTTATTATTTATTTTCATATACATGTAGCATTTATTTAACCAGGTGGTTGTATAGTGGTTTAAACTGATACATATATAGAAATAAGACTAAACTTTGTATTAGACAGTTGGTTAATAGCTTATAGTTATAAGAACACTCAATTAAATGTACATTCTAATTACAAATCTGTGTCATAGTTATAAACAGATATGTGTACATACTCATTATGAAAGTGATAGCATGTGTAATTTCAAAAGATGAAAACAAATCAAGCCAATACAATTCTTTACACACGTATGTAATTTATGTTTGTACCAATGCTTTTTAGTAAATTTAAAACTCTTACATTTATTAAAAAAAATTAAAGTTTGACAACAAGAATGATATATACGAACAATCTGTTTAGTAGTTTACATGTGACTATAAATTGTCATAATACATGCGATAATTAGAATCAGATATTATAACTCACTTTCTCCACCATGCATATATCTGCCAAAGAAATAATCTATCTATTACAAAATATTCCAACATGAGTTGCATGCAATCTCTAACATAGTTTATCAAAAATTCATTTGCAACTATATATACGATAGAATTTCAGAAACGTGGACTGCCACATGCGCATATCTTGCTATGGCTTCATGAAGGTAACAAATATCTGACACCTGGTTTGATTAATAAGATCATTAGTGCTGAGATTCCGGATGAGAAAGAAGATCCAATTGGGTATGCAGCAGTTGGTCAATATATGATGCATGGACCATGTGGCAGTATGTCTCCACATTCAACATGTATGAAGCATCAAAAATGTTCAAAGAGGTTTCCAAAAAAATACATTTCGGAGTCAATTATTGATGATGGAGGTTTTCCTATTTACCGAAGAAGGGAGGATAATAGTAAATGGATAGAGAAAAATGGAACAAGATTGGATAATGGTTATGTCGTACCGTACAACCGAAACTTGATAGTTAAATATCAATCTCACATTAACGTAGGGTGGTGTAACAGAGGAAGATCAATCAAATATTTATTTAAGTATGTCACAAAAGGACCAGATCATGTTTCTATTTCTATTCACAAGGGAAACAATGATGGATCCTCAAAACTAAAAGAATTAAACCGAGATGAGATACAACACTATCTTGATTGTAGATATGTCTCAGCACCGGAAGGCATATGGAGGATATTTGGATTTGATATTCATTACAGAACTCCAGCAGTAGAGAGGCTACCATTTCATCTCCCGGATCAGGAATCAATTATTTTTAAAGATAATGATAATCTAAATGACATTTTGAATGATATTGGATCAAAGCAAACCAAGTTCAATGGTTGGATGGAAGCAAACAAACTTTATCCAGAGGCAAAAACTCTCACATATGCTGAATTACCAACTAAATTTGTATGGAAGATAGATGAGAGAAGATGGAAACCAAGAGAGAAGGGGCGAAGTGTTGGTCGATTAGTTTACGCCCATCCTTCTTCGGGTGAAAGATTTTATCTCCGTTTATTACTAAATGTAGTGAGAGGTCCTACAAGCTATGCCGAAATAAAAACCAAAGATGGAATTCAGTATGGAACCTTTAAAGAGACATGTGTTGCTCTTAGATTGTTGGATGATGACAATTGATGGCAATTAGTCATAGAGGAAGCATCTTATTTTTCCTCAGGGAGACAACCGAGACATTTATTTGCACAAATCCTTTTGTTTTGTGAAATTATCAATCCTAAAAAGCTATGGGAAGATAATTGGGTGTATTTATCAGAGGGCATTCTTGAAGCTCAAATTAATCTACTACAGTACCCTAATTTGAAATGATAGAAAATCAATTGTAAAGCCATGCCTTGGCAGAAATACAATATCTCCTACTACAAAATGGTCAATGTCTTTAGATGTTTCAAGGTATGCCACTTCCTGATCCAGTTTTAATTCAACAATGTAAGGAGAAGATTATAAGTGAAGAGTTTAACTACGATAGAGAAGAATTGAGAAGGGAGCAAGAACAGTTGTTTCGGGGTCTCAATGAGAAGCAAAAAAAAAAAATATGATGCTGTCATTCACTCTGTAGATAGTAAAACAGGAGGATTTTACTTTCTCTACGGACATGGTGGGACAGGAAAGACTTATGTTTGGAAGTCAATTATCACTAGACTTTGATCCGAGGGGAAAATAGTACTTGCAGTGGCATCATCGGGTATTGCTGCTCTTCTTTTACCTAGAGGGAGAACATCACATTCAAGGTTCCAGATTCCAATTAAACTGAAAGAAACATCTACATGGTGGTATTAAACAAGGAACACCTGAAGCAAATTTACTAAAACAAACAGCTTTAATACTTTGGGATGAGGCACCAATGATGCATAGACACGCATTTGAAGCGGTGGATAGAACTTTGAAAGATATATTAGGCAAAGACAATCCTACGTTGTTAGAGAAACCATTCGGAGGATTGACTGTGGTGCTTGGGGGTGATTTTAGACAAATTTTACCAGTTATTCCAGGAGGTAGTAAACATGATATTATTCATGCTTCCATTAGCCGATCCAAACTTTGGAGTGAATGCAAAATATACAAATTAACAAAGAATATGAGAATTCGACAATGTTCATCAAATGAGAATGAAATGAGCATACCAGAATTTAGTAAATGGGTTCTAAATATTGGAAATGGCAGTGCTAAAGAAGATTGTTGCGAATTGCAAAATATGGATGGAACTATTGATATTCCACACGAGTTTATCCTTCATCCAACTAAAAATTCAGTTGAGGATATTATTTCATCTACCTACCCAAACATAGATGAAAACTTTCAAAACACTACATATCTAGAAGAAAGAGCAATATTAACACCAAGGAATGAAACTGTTGATATTGTGAACAATACAATCCTGGAAAAAATTAAGGGACAAATTTCAGTTTACCTTAGTTCTGATTCCCTTTGCCCAACATCTCCTAACATGCAAGAAAATGAGGTAAACTTTCCAACCGAGTACCTGAATTCGCTAAAATTTCCAGGAATCCAAACCACGAGATAAAACTTAAAGTTGGGACACCAATCATGCTTCTACGCAACTTGAATCCAAGTGAAGGCTTATGCAACGGGACGCGGTTGATCGTCACCCAATTGCTAAAATGGGTGTTTGAGGCCAAAATTATAAGTGGAAGCAACATTGGATCAAAACATTTTATCTCAAGAACCGTAACAACAAATACAGATTCAAAGTCGACATTTCGCATGAAAAGAAGACAATTTCCTATTAGACCATGTTATGCAATGACCATAAATAAAAGCCAGGGACAAACACTACAACATGTTAGTCTGTATCTACCGCAACCCGTTTTCACACATGGTCAGCTATATGTTGCTATTTCGAGAGTGACATCACCAAAAGGTCTAAAAATTCTCATTGAAAATAATGAAATGAACACTAAAAGTGTAACAGAGAATGTAGTGCATAGAGAAATATTCAACAACTTGGTAGAAGGTATATCATGTATATCTTTATTGTTATCTATAATATAATATAATATAATTGCATTAAACCGTTATTTGTTTCATTAGTTTCATTCATACTGATGAATTGACAGTTTAAGTAGGATGTTGAAGGATAAATATTTAATAAAATTTTATGTGCCGGTGAAGGACAAGAAGAATGAGTATTTCTAAATACATAGCGATAAAGGATCTGAACACGGGAGTAAAAGAACCAGTCATTAAAGCTCGAGTGACAAGCTTATGGGAAAATATAAATGTCATATCACTTCAAAATTATGGACTACTACTTACTCTTTTGGATGAAAGTGTAAGACATATTTACATTCCTTCTAAAACTTTTTATACAGAATGATCTCTTATAGTTATAAAATATTAATATTTATGTACTATATATATATATATATATATATATATTTCATATGAGATGATTATTTTAAATTTTTACAGGATACACACATTCACGGTAGCATTAAAACAACTGAGATGTCAATGTTTCAACCAATGATAGAGGAAGGAAGGATACATGTCATCTCTAAGTTCTGAGTTATGAATTCCTTTGGAAATTATAGGGCAACTGAGAATAAATTCTCAATATATTTTTGCCGTATGACACAAGTTCAAGTACTACAAGAAGACAATGACAATATCCCTAGGTACAAGTTCAACTATAAACCATTCAATGAGCTTTATAGAATGAAAGGAAACAAGACTTATTTGGCAGGTAAACTTTTATTATAATTTTTGTATCATGATATAGTTCAATACAGATTATGCAACAAACTTAATATAACTTATGTCTCTTATGTTTGCTTATTTCAATTTCAATACAGATATAATTAGGTTTGTAAAAGATATATACCCCTTGGAGCAAACTATCATTTCTGGAAAGCCAGGGACTAGGAGAGCCTTAAAACTAATCGATGAAGAGTGAGAGTTATCTTATACATCACCTAAAACTAATCGATGAAGAGTGAGAGTTATCTTATACATCACCTAATCCAACTGTTAATTGTATTTACTTATGCTTGACACTAAAACTTATTATCTTTTATACAAATCAGAAACACAGAATGCACTGTTACTTTATGGAACCAAATTGCAACAAATCTAGAGAGCGCACTGATAGATCAAGATCCAAACAACATGGTTATGGTGGTCAGTGGAATCTTTGTTACTAATTTTAGAGGTAAGATGAACAATTATACATGTCATAAATAATTTCTTTCATCAATACATAAGTAAAGAGGATTTTAGAGGTAAGATGAACAATTATACATGTCATAAATAATTTCTTTCATCAATACATAAGTAAAGAGGGTACTTTACGCATAACTTTGCACATAAAATTTCAGGCAATAATTCTGTGTCATCAAGCACGGCGACCAAAATCTACGTGAACATACTTGAACAAAGAGTATTGGAATTATCTCAGAGGTAATTTTAGTATCTATATATTTTTGACATACGTAATTAAATTATATATGTACTGGCATATGATTTCTGAGCATATATACATAGGTACATGGAGTTGGAAACACAGATGCAGCTAATAGAGACACTAATTAATCACAAATCAAAGCAGAAATTTCTTGAAACACCATCTGCATCTTTGAGCGATCTTATTTTATTCAATGATCCAGAAACCGCTGAGGTAATAAAGATTTTAAAAGATGGCCTATCAGTTATGCAAACTTATTATCTGTTCTATAGCTAATATTCATCTTTGTAATTTAAAGGAATATTTCTTTATATGCAATGTGAGAATCAATACTATAATGGATAACCAAAAATGGCGCTATCGCGGATGTCCAAATTGTTTTAGAAAAACAATTGATGCGGGAGATACATTTTGGTGCGCAAAGTGTGACATAGAGGTATTTGCAGAAAATAGGTATGTGTAAATTTACAATATGATCCACAAATACATACCACAGAATGACTTTGATAATAACTGTTTTGGAAATTTTTTTTACAGCTATAGGATAACTATGGAAGTTCAAGATGAATCTGTGAAAACTACTTTCGTTGTTATGAACAAGGAAGCTGAAAAATTGGTGAAAATACCGGCTCAAGAGGTTGCACGAACAATTAAATATGTGAGTACATCTTCCTCTTAAAGTATTTTGAAACTCATTTTAAAACACATTCAGTATGTGCCTAAAAAATATTTATTCATTGATCAGGTTAATGGTAGAGAAGTTTTCCCGGAAGTGATAAAAGCCATATGTGGAAAATGTATTAAGGTTCAGGTAAAACTAACGCGATATAATTTCGTGGAAGGTAATGAAGGTTTCATAATAAACAAAGTAATAGAGGAAACTTCAGACAGTTCGGGGGCAATTGAATTTAACTCTACAAGTCAGGTAACAATTTTCAACATATTATTTATATAATAACAACTTTGTAAAGCATGTATCTATAAACTTACCTCTTTACATTTATATATATATATATAGGAATCTGTAGATGCATCGATCATTAATTTACTTGAGGATGCGCCTCCACCGACTCTGCAACCAATAGCATCTACTAAATCTGTAGTCACACCTATGCATGCACTGTTATTGGATATAAAGTCAGAGAAAGTTTACAACAAAACAGCGCTAAAAATAGCAAATATGGATAAAGAATCAAATGAGCAGAAAGCACGTTCATCTAAAATACATCAAGTGCAAGTTGATGTGAACTTATTGTTCATTATAATTATTTTAATTTTTTGTAATCCAAAGGCTTACGATAAGTACAAAACCAATGCCTAAGTATTAAAACTATTAAGTTATTAAATTATTTCTTATATTTCTCATATGCAGATAACAAGAGGAAGCGAAGTAACAAAGCAAAAGGGAAAGAGAATGATGCAGTAGACTGAAATGAATCTTGGCAACTAGAATCGTGACTTTAAAAGGATCAAAACCTACTCAATGAAAAAAGAACCTTGGGAGATAACAACCAGTGATGTTTCTATTTGAAATCTATATTACTAATATGTGTGACTTATGAGTAGAAACTCTAATTATGTTGACATTTCGTACTTATATAGTTCATACTTCTTTTTGTTCATTTATTAACATACATGAACATCATTATTTGCATTATATCTACTACTAATATCATTATTATGAAAAAGAGGATAAAATGGTTTACATTGCTTGAAGATGTGAACCACGTGCATTATATTCTTTCTAGATTTTTCTCAAGTGAACCACTATAAGGCAAAAGCACCGCATGGACAAATCTAAAGTAAATCTACTGATTAAAAAGATTTAGCAAAGTTTGTCATATTTCTTTAAGACTATATGCAAGAGTATATACCAAAAACTGATTAAAAAGATTTAGCAAAGTTTGTCATATTTCTTTAAGACTATATGCAAGAGTATATACCAAAAGACCAATATGGATAACATAAGAAGATATCATGAACCACAACCTAGGGAGACACACAAGCACAAATACATATGAACGCATGCAAATGCAAGCCCTCACACGCGAGCACAACATATGGACACACAAACAAGCATATGAGAAATGATGAACGCATAAAGTGTCAGGTCAAATTGTAGATTTAACAACAAAACTTGGATTGATGGTGAGTTCAAAACAGGGATACGACAATGAGTCATTTTGCAATTAACCCAATTTAGAAAGAAAGAAAGCCCACCATAGTTCAAACTACAAAATATCACCTGCCCAGCCATGGTATGGTCTTTTTCACTTGGACCGCAGCATGAGCAGGCATTACATATCTGCGAAGAAAATTCCAATAACAATTAATAAGAAACCTAATTAACGAAGCTGCAGAAAAGAAACATCAATTATTACTTGATTTTAAATATAGTAACAGGAGATGAAAGTAAGCAATCATAACAATGTGATAGAAATATCTGAGGCACTTAAGTTAGATCAAGATCCCTCAAATTTGGAGTTGAGGTATGAGAATTAAGAAGGCATATTTATCAAGTATAAAACTAATCTATTAACACTACCAGTCATCATAATAAGCATAAACCCTAATCTATTAACACTAGCGTAGAACTAAAATCAAGAAACCTACAATAAAATTGCCCATGTTCATTAAACCTAATCTATTAACACTAGCGTAGAACTAAAATCAAGAAACCTACAATAAAATTGCCCATGTTCATTAAATAATGGGTAAATTTCACCCAAAAAAATCCCCAATAATATGGGGTGTTTCCCATTACAGGCCCCAACACTTTGTTTTTCCCACTAAAAACAAACACGTTTCCCAGATAACATCAAAATTGCCCCTCAGGCCAAAAAAAAAAAACCATTTTCATTCATTTCAAAAAAAAATTCTGTCAGAAACAAACCTTCATTAAACAATTCATCTGTGATAGATTGGATAGCAAACATTCATTGAGGAAGCCTTTAATGCCTAAACAAAAAACATAACTTGCAACAATATACAATAAATCCATACAATCAATTATTACAAATCAAAGGCCACTATAAAGAACAAAACAATACAAAACAAAACAAACCAAAAACAAAAAAAAAACAAAAAAATTAAAAAAAACAGTTCATGTTTTATCACGGATGCTCGACAACATATTAGCTAAACTGCATGTCATAACATTTAGATGTAATATTTTTTCCCAGTTTGAGTATATTTGAGTGAAATTAGAGCAAGATATGATTGTGGCTTACATTAAAACCGAAATAAGTAAATTACCAGATAGTCGAAGGGAAATAAGAATACAAAATTTAAATAATTCAGAATTAATAAAATTTATCTTTAATATATAGAACAAATTCTGAATAATGAAAACTGCTTCAAATCTATATGTAGGCGTATAAAACTGCCTATACGTCCCTTAACACAACTCGGCACGGTGATTCGACAAATCAACGAACCATCTGGTGACGTATCTAAACACGATCGTTTGTCCACAACACCGAAGCCAAGTGACACGCGGCGAAGCGGATTAACGAGGCTACGAGACTAACGAACCGCACGCAAACAACGGAATAAATCCACTCGCATCCGGAATCAAGCTAACGATTCGGTGAGTCAACGAGTCATCCAACCGTAGAATGGATTCGAACTCGAACACCGAAGCGGGTTTACTGCTAAATCAGGATACGGACTATCAAATCAGAGTTCAGATCAATGACGAAGCTCGGATAAACCGATAAACCGTGAAAACCGCGAAACCGGACAACGGACGACACGGCGAACACCCGGGCGACTCGGCCAAAGCCGAACCACCCAGGTGGCTCGGTGGCCGAGCCACCTCGGTGGCTCACCGAGCCACCTTGAGGTGGCTCGGTGGCCGAGCCACCTCTAGGTGGCTCAGCGGCCACCAAGGTGGCTCGGCCACCACCGAGCCACCTGGTGGCCGAGCCACCAGGCAGATCTGGGCCCAGATCTCATTTTTGAAGGGTTGGAATTTTGGAGCCGAAACTCTGCTGGATTGAGAACTCACCTTCGGATTTTCAAAGCTTTGAAGACTTGGACATTTTCAGATCTGGTTCTTGGTGAGCATCCACGTCAAAAAAGGTAGGAGTTCGAGAGAGAGAGATCAGATCTGAGATCCACACGATAATGCTCCGGATCAAAACTTGCTTTTTGATCCCGAGAAGGCTATTATTTCCTTGGTGAAATAGTACCCCCGGCTGTTATTTCCTTTGTGAAATAGCACCCGTCATACCGTGTAGATCCGACTGGATCAAGATCTTGCGGTGGTCTACGGATTAACCCCGGCGCAGGCGAAGAACCCACACAAGCGAGAGACCGCAAAACAGGATCTCGCGATTTGTTCGACAAAGAAGGAAAGTTGTAATTTTTATTTTTTATTTGATCTTGTTGTAACCGGATCTTATAAAAAGACCGGATCTTTGTAACCGATAAACTGTTAACAAAGTAATCAATGGAATCAATGAACGTAATTTTTCCCGCGAACAATCTGGTGACCACAGTGGGAGACACCGATCTCGCTGCCGAGATCGTTGCGTCGCAGCTGCGGATCTTGATCCCGGTCGAGGAGGAGGTCGAGTATGAATTCGACCAACAAAAGTTCGAGGAGTATCTGTCATCCTCGTCCGGATCCACCTCCCCCCGCAAGTCCAAGAAGTTCTCCTCCAGGAGAAAAGTTCGTTGGTATGAAGAAGTACAGAACGCCAACGAAGCTCTCACCCCAATTGACGCTAAAGTTGCGTCGGGTGAAGTTCCGTCGACCTCCAACCAGGTCAACCCTGTTCTCTCCGATGCCTCCACCGTTGAGGGCGTTGTGACTCTCTCGGAGAGAGCCCTCCAGAGGCGACGTCAATGCCTGGCGCGACAACTCGCAAAGGCGATGGAGTCCACTGACAGAATCTGCTATCACGCGGATCTGAAGAACAGGAGAGGCAAACAGCCTCAACCATCGATGAATAGTAGCTCTTCTAAGCTGCCAACGAATAAATGGGTTCGTGTCAAACGGAATCGTTCGACACTCGAAGAGCGCATTCACAAGCGCCGCAATGTCAGCGCAGGCACGGGCTCGAGTCCAAGAAGCTCGTAGAAGACTACAGAAGGAAGTGGCCAAGAAGCCGCCACCAACCCGCCAAGTATGGAGGGCGAAGTCTAAAGCGGCGATTCAGGCTAAGGCACAATCGTTGCAGCCTTCAACGCAAATCCAGCCTCCGGCGAACCAAACGAAGTCGCCGGTAATTCCTATAGATACTTCGGGAGATCCCGCGGAATCATCCCGAAGAAGAAGATCAGTTTTGGAGCGTCTCGGTCCAATTCCCGATGAAAGAAGAAAAGCTCCAGTTCAAGAACGTTTGGGCCCGATGAAGAAGCCCCGAACGACTCAACATGCTGGGGGTCGCCGTCACCTCCAACATGACAAAGAGATCAGGGCAGCTAGGCGCACCAATTTGCGCATTGAAGTCTAGGAGCCCGCTGAGAACTCACGCCCACAAAGGCATGTTTCGAGACGCGTGACTTTTGAAAGCCCAAAGAAGGCAGTTCACCCTCAGAAAGAAACATTATCGTCTGATGACGATAGCGTTATACATGAGAAGTCGTGCCAACACACGATAGGTTACTCCGACCTTCAAGCAGACGAGTTGTACTATCGTGCTAGGGGTACGAGTAAAACCAGGAAAAGGAGTCCTCGAGAACAAGAAACTCAATGCCCCTGTTCCAAACTCATTCGGGCAGTATTGTCTGAGTGTAACTGCATCAAGACAGTTCCTAAAAGAGTTTCGGTTTTCGAAAGACTCAGTACCGAAACGCCAAAACCAAGGCCTAGGCATTTCCGACGAAGGAGAACGGTGGTTGAAGACGGAGAATTTCCGAGGGTCACCACTAACATGAACAGCAAAGGGACATCGACACGGGATAATCCCAAGTCGATTCCGGAAGCATCCCGGCGTATAACCCGTCTGCAGTCTGGAGCCATCAAACGAGGAACTTACGGTAGGGTTCGGACAAGATTACCTTCAGAAGATGAAGAATCGGATGCCGGCTCCGCGGTCGCATCAGGTAATACGGTATCCAGCGAGGGACAACCCCGCGAGGTACTTATGATAAGTGCGGAACAAGTGGCCAAGATGCTTGAAGAAGCCATGGCTAAACAACAGGAGAGCTTCAGGTTCGAAATGCAGATGGCCATGCAGAATATGAGAGAAATGCATGACCAACAAATCCAAGCACTGATGAACCAGCAAGGTGAACCAAGTCGTCGTAACCAGGTTCATCAGGAAGATGAGGATACAAATGCAAATGAAGCTCATAATGCCAATCATCCTCCCGTCAATGCAGGGGGTGGTAACGAGAATGCTAGTGAAAACACAGCTGAAAGCTTGAAGATCAAAAACCTCGAGAGCAAAATCAATACGTTGATTTCCGCTCAATAGATG